TAGTCCTGGCCGCCCTGGGAGTCATCTTGTTGAGGAAGTGAGTGGAACCAGCTGTTGATGACGACTACTGTCTAGTCAGAGAGTTACAAAACCAGCAATGCTGAGGATTGTGATGGGGGTGACCTCCATTTTCATTTTTATTAAGAGTGCCTCTTGTGTGGGTTGGCCTGACTGAGGGCACTTTTTGGTGAGAGGACGGAGGACCAGGGAGGGGTGTATGCAGTTCCAACCTGGACAAGAAGCAGAGTGCTCTCTGGAGCAGATTGCTCATCTGTGCGACTGATGGCTTTATTTATACTGCGCTGGCAGCGAACGGCTTCGTTTTCTCCTTGGTGTTCCTGCAATACAATTTGTGGCATGGAAGTGGGCTGAATGCTCATCATGGTGGCTGGTGACTGGGTGGGAGATATTGGAGTAAATGATGCGCTTGGTGTGCGAGTTCAGTGGGATGGCTGGCATTACATAATTTGTATAGATGCAATGGCAGAATTTGGGTGTGGGGTGTTTGTGCTAGAGGGGTGTGTGCATTTTGTGAGTTAGGATATGCCTTGGCAAGAAGGAAGGAATCCCTGGCTCTAAATACATTTCAAAATGAACTGCTATGTTTTTTGGGGGGCGTTGTATTGCTTTACTGCTTTTCATTGTAGTTCTGTTTAATATTGCACGGCATTGTTTGCAGTTTTTTGGTTCCATTGATGGTTATCTATTTATTTTGTACTGTACTGCATTTATTGTTTTGCAAACTACTTAAATACTGTCTGAAGTCTGTTAAATATAGGTTGAGGTCTGAGGTCTGTTAAATATAGATTGGGTCCCAAACACTGAATCTTTATAATGCCTTAGCATCTGAGCTTTCAAGTCGAAGATTAGAGGCACAGGTTCCTAGTTGCAAGATGTGGTAGGGATGGGGATCTCATGCTCCAACTCCAACTTATGAGAGCTCCAACTCTCATAAGCCCTAGGCAGCATGGTCATCTTAGGGATACAGTGGTACCTTGGGTTAAGAACTTAATTTGTTCTGGAGGTCCGTTCATAACCTGAAACTGTTCTTAACCTGAGGTATCACTTTAGCTAATGGGGCCTCCTGCTGCCGCCACGCGATTTCTGTTCTCATCCTGAAGCAAAGTTCTTAACCCAAGGGGTTAGCGGAGTCTGTAACCTGAAGCATATGTAACCTGAAGCGTCTGTAATCCAAGATATCACTGTAATAGGAACTGCAGTTCATCATCCTCTGGGGAAGTCATAGGTTTCCCATTGCTAAATGGCTGTCAGGCACACCCAGGGCTTTTTTCAACTGGAACTCAGTTCCAGCACCTCTCAGGTGGGCACCATTGCTATTATAAGAGAACAAGGGAGGCGTTCATGTTGAGGTCTGACACCTCTTTTTCTAGAAAAATATCACTGGCATGCTTCAGCCATCCATCACAGCTGATATTACAAAATAAGCAATCCTTTACATTACAGATCTATGCCCATGCCCGCTGTCAAAACAGAGCTTTTTCAGCTAGTCTGCCTAGGCATCAGCTGCAAGTGAAAGAACAGTGGGACAGTCAACATTGCAAAGAAATGCAAGCTTTTAAGGTACTTCTCTCAGGATGTGAAAAAGAGACCCCCAAGGCTTAGGTCTGAATTTTAAAGCAATGTATATTAAGATATGAATTCAGGGCTGCACATGTCACATATTTGGTCTTCCTACAACCTAGGTAATTAATTAAGTAATTAATTAGAGAACACACATTTTGAAGCACGTTTCCACCCCAAATGAATCCTGGGAACTGTAGTTTACCACTCACAGAGAAACAATTACTAGCACCCTTAACAAACGAGTTCTTTGGAGGGGACTCAGAATGTTCTTTAAATGCATGTCGTGTACCCAGTCTACAGACTATGGGCGAGACAAATCTTTCTGCCAGAGCTGCAATTCTATGCCTAGCAAGGCACGCTTCAGGCCGTGCACTGGGTATCAAGAGTCCTATTTAAAATGTGTATCGGCCTTTTGATCGCAACCCTCCACTTCCACGCTTAGAAATATAGCACTCATTTAGTGCAGTCCAGCATGCTAGCTTTTGAAAAGAAACTCAAATTGGTGGAATTTTATTGCCTCTAGTGAATGAAAGAATTTCAGCCTGCAGTAAATCAGCTAATTGTTCTGACAGCTACTTGATCGTCTTAAATTAATAATGAATAAAACATATGAATATTTAAAAAGCATGGCGCTGAAAATGTGCAACACATAAACATATATTCATAATAAGGGTAAGTGCAAATCTCTTGGTTCTAAAAAATAGTGGTGCTGCTATTGAAGAAAAACTGATATTAGATATTTCACATACATTGAAGAGGCTCAGGTCTTATCCGCACCTTTCTTTTGCTCCTTCCAGGTCTGTGCCCAAGCACCACCCCCCCCTTTTTTCTTCTTCTCTGGAGTTTTCCCTGCAAAAACCCGCTCTTGAAAGCTCAGTCAGAGCAAACGTCAAGTTGTGGAAAACCCGGATTGACATTTGCTCTGATTCAGCTTTAAATAACAGATTTCGGTAGGGAAAGCGGGGGTGGGGGGGGTGGAAAGGGCTCCAACAAGGAGCATTAAAGCACAAACCTCTGCCTGGAGAGGGGGGGGAGTTAAATGTGGATAAGGCCTCCTTCTCTAATCACCTGTTGGGTAGATTTGTTCTCTGCTAGTGGCCTAATTGATGCCACATTGAACAAGAAATTGTTTTGCAGTGGAACTTAGTACAGTGGTACCTCGGGTTAAGTACTTACTTAATTCGTTCCGGAGGTCCGTTCTTAACCTGAAACTGTTTTTAACCTGAAGCACCACTTAGCTAAAGGGACCTCCTGCTGCTGCCACGCCGCCGGAGCACAATTTCTGTTCTCATCCTGAAGCAAAGTTCTTAACCTGAAGCACTATTTCTGGGTTAGTGGAGTCTGTAACCTGAAGCATATGTAACCCGAGGTACCACTGTAGTATAAAGCTCAGTATTCAAGATACAAGGAAGACTTACAAAATCAAAAAATACCCACAGTCCTATCACATTTCAGGCGACACTGCCCTTCTCAAGGGGAACTGTTACTTAACCTATGTAGTTACAAGAGAAATACAAAGCTTGGCACCACTTCTTAACAACAACCCCCTTTGAATTACTCCCTCAAATAAGGGGTATACAGCCCAAATATGTTGGGAATACCTTTTTCTTTTCTTTTTTACATCTATATACACATTGAGTAATCTACTATGCATCACTGAGATCTACCCTTCTGGGATAGCTCCATCAGCAGATCATCTCAGGCTTGTGGGTTTGAGCCCCACGTTGAGGAAAAGATTATTGCGCTACGGACTAGGTGACTCCTGAGGCCTCTTTCAGCTCTACAATTCTATGGTTCCACAATTCTACTACTTTCTAAAAAATTAAGCTACAGAATGAAACTGCACTGCTAGTGGGCTTAAGGAGAAAGTCAGAAAAATTCCCCTCCTCAAACGTTGTGTGGTTGACACTAAAATGGCATGCCTCTGGCCCTGTGTGTTCAACTGCAGCTTAATCTGCATTATTAACTTCTGGGCAATACTCAGTGTTGTCCTATGGAAGTTTGATCTGGTGGCTTTTGAAAGTTAAGTTGCTGTTAACACAAAAGCAGTCCTACTAGTCTTCTTCCCACAGTTGTGTTCAACAAAGGTATAGTCACTGAAATTACTGGACTAAAGTTAGTTACATTCATTAATTCCAGTGGGTCTACTCTGAGTAAAGCTTAGTTGACTACCACCCTTGATCAGTTGGGAATGTACAGTGGTACCTCGGGTTACATACGCTTCAGGTTAGACTCCACTAACCCAGAAATAGTACCTTGGGTTAAGAACTTTGCTTCAGGATGAGAACAGAAATCACGCGGTGGCAGCGGGAGGCCCCATTAGCTGAAGTGGTACCTCAGGTTAAGAACAGTTTCAGGTTAAGAACAGACCTCCAGAACGAATTAAGTTCTTAACCCAAGGTACCACTGTATAATAAAAGAGTTTGCTCCTACCTCATACGAGAGACACATTTTCATCTCTTCTGTAAGAAAAAAGCCCTTTTCAATGGGTTTGACACATTATTATATTTTAAGCTGTCTTATCCCTAAAGGCACAGGGCCGATTTAAAGCATCAAACATATTTCCCTTGGTGTATTGCAATTAGGCTGCCAGAAGACAGCACACAGAATCTTTGGAATATTTTAGAATGTTCATAGCTGGACAGGAAAAGGGAACAGTTCTCCCTGGTACATCTGTTTCATTCCACAGGCATGGGAACAAACCCAGGCTGCAGACTGTGGTTAAGGAGGAGAGAGCTGAAACAAGATGCTGGGTTCAAATGACACTTGGCTTAGGTGTTGCACCATGCTGAGCTAAAAGGACCAGCAAGAAGCAAAGCAGCTACAATTTTCTCTTTGGAAGTCTGTGCATTTGCTATGGTATGTCTTAGTGTTATGTGCAAATGTGGTAATTGTGACAAGGACCCAGGCTGTGTGTAGGGTGGGGAGCATGGTTTATTTAATAAGCATTAATTTAATAAGGATTTCACCCTGAATTGGGAACTGGCATGTTTGTTCTAGAGCCCACAAATCCCCTCATTAGCACTGGGCTTCCTCTACATACAGGAATGTTGCAGAAACTCTTGCCCAACATTTTTTTTAGCTATCCTATTTTTGGCAACTAGCTGGGCAGGCAGATTTCAGGCTTCTAGGATCTACTGTGGTTTTTACTAAACCCTGGAAGTCCACCAACTTCAACCAGGTGCAAAATAGTGGGTGGGGTGGGATAACACACACTTAAAGGTACAGGATGCTTCTGACTGCATGCTTAACCCATGAATTTATTTTGAGAACCTGAACTCCACACAAAAGTCCATGCCTGGTTTTGTCTCCAAAGCTTGCTTTATTTCAGCAGTCAAGAGAATTGGTTTTTGCTGCATTGTTAAACCATTGAGAGTAAGAAACTCTTGCCACATATCACCCCTGATCTGCTTGTAGACCTTGATCCATTTACTGCTCACCAACATTAAATAGCATGATAGCAAATCAAGTTGGTTTTACATGTAGAAAAAAGTAGGGAACAGAACAGGAGATCCAGGGCCCAAGACCCTAGGTGACAAAGACCTGGGGCTGTCTCCTGGGCCATCTCATAACAATGCCTATGAAGGCAAGCATGGCTAGAATGCTGAAAGCACCTATGTGTTAATTAGACCCGGAGGAGCAGGGCAGCCCTACCTACAAGCATTGGCATAGCTGCCCCCCCTAAATCAATAAAAATATTTAGCTGAGGTTCTGTCCACCCCAACATAAAACCTGACTACAGTCATGCTTACAGGGTCTATTTTATCATTAAAACCTATTTTATTTATTGATTGAATGATCCACCAACCAGCGGCAGGTGCAAAGGTGGCCAGGGGTGGAGGCACAAGATGTGTTTTAGGGCTATGTACATATGCATGGCTTAAAATGCAGCTAAGCTATTTCCTCCCTGCTGTGTTTGATGTTGCATTCAGAAGTTGCTGCACACACCAAAGGGGCAGAGATGTCCTCACCTGATGTGCATTACTCCATTTCCCACCTTTCACCTACAACACCCCTCTGCCCCAAACTCCAACGAAGCAACCATCTGTGCATGTGCAACAGCTGTCTCAGATGCACATGGCTTAGGTTTTCAAATCAGATGCAAGCCGGCTTGAGAAAAAGCTCGTCCAACAAGGAGGCTTTTGCAATATTATAGATTTAATCCAGGCCGGCCCAAAACATTTTGGTGGCTGAGGTGAACCACAAAATGGCACCCCACGCCTTGCTGCCATAGAAGGAGGGATGAGTGAAGATGTACATCAGGAAGCGCGTGGGGGTGGGGGTTGCTTCCACTGTGGATCCTGCCACCTGAAGCGGTTGCTTCACCTTTCTTCCTGGAAGGGACAGGAGCTGGGTATGATACAAAAGGAATTGGGACCGGGAGAGACGCAAGCATAGGAACAGTCACAGATGCTCCGCTGGCTGATGGGCGGGGCCAGGTTCTTCGCCTTGCGTTTTTCCTGGGAGATGGTGGGTGCAGCCTCCCAGCCGCAGCTGCACCAGGGCATCCAAGCGTGCGCCTCCTTCCAGATTTAACAGGGTTCTCGACTTATGCGCTCATCTCAAGAGGCGGCTCAGGGAGAAGCAAGCAAGGGAAAATGCGTCAAGAAACAGAATCCACAGCCCCGCGCTGCCCCGTCCCCCACCTCCCGCTTAGAGACCACCTGGGAACAAGAGGCCAAACACGCCCGTGGATCTGCCTAGCGGACCTTGCTAACAGCGACTCCCCACCTAGCCTCACGTGACAGCCTCCAGGCGTCGCGCGGCAGTCAATCAGGGGCCAGCTTTGCGCTTCTTTCCCCAGCCAATGAGGCGGCCGCGCTACGCAAGGCGGGCAGAACACCTACCGCGGCCAATCAGAGCGGCGGTGGCCTGAACAGCGGGGCGGGGCAGGGAAGGCGCCACGCCCCTCCTACTCTCTCTCTTTCTCTCTCTCTCCGTCCCGGAGCTCCTCCTCTTTCTCAGGGGGAGGGGTTGCTTTTGGCGGTTTGGCTCCGCCTGGGCAGCCCAACCCGACGGGCACCGAGCGGCGCGGCGAATGAATAAGGGGCTGCGGAGCTGTGGCGGCGGCCCCCGGAGCGGAAGGGGCGCCGTTGGGCGCTGAGGTAACGGGGAGGTCTGTCGCCGGAGATTCGGGTGGGATTCTTCTCCCTACCTCCGCGCTTTCGCTTTTGCCCTGAGGGGAGAGAGGCTGGTGCTGGGCGCGCGGCGGGCAGATGGGGTTGCGCTGTTCGGCGGACGGACTTGGCGGCGGGGCGGGGCTCGGGTGAGAGAGAGAGAGAGAGAGAGAGAGAGAGAAGTAAGCTGCTCCCTTGACTGACGGACGGAGCGTCCCCCTGGCGCGTGAGCGGGCGGCGGTTGGGACGGTTGGGAGCAGGTGAACAGAGCTCAACCGCCGCCTCCCTCCTTCTCTCCCTCCCTCCCTCCCACAGGCGTGTTTGTACTCGGAAGTCAGAAAGCAACAACAACAGCGCGCCGTGTTCCGCGGGTGCTTACTAACCCCTAGTAAAAGTTGTCGCTTTCCCACGAAGGTGAGGGACCTGCTGGTCGTGGGAATACCGTGCGGAGGGAGGGAGACGCGTGTTGTTTCCTACCTCACGCCTCTCCTTCCTCGTGGCAGAAGAAACTGTCTCTCGAGTCCGCGCGCGCGGGGGGGGGGCGTTGAGGGCGCTGGGTGTGGATAAGCCCACCCCCACCGCGCTCCACTTCTCGCATCCTCCTGGCGAAGGTGTGCGGAGCTGCCAGGTGGTGAGGCGGTTATGTAAAGGGAGCCTCTGAGTCTGCCTCAGAAACAGGGATCTTTTGCGGGAAAGGGCTGTGGAGCAGTAGGAGAGTGCCTGCTTTGCATGCATAAGGTCCCTGCTTCAGTCCTTGGCACCTCCAGGTCTGGTCCCCTGTTTGGAAGGCCAGTGCTGTGACTTGGTCCCTGTGTTGCAATGCCCTGTCATCATTGCTTTGGGACAGTTTTATGGGAAGTGATTCACAAGTGAAATAAGTACCCTCAACGTCCTCCCCTCTTGCTTGCTCCAGCTTGGGGTTTTGTGAAGAGTTGGAGTAAGGTTTCTGGATTTAACTGGAGTGGAGTTACATTCCTGGTTGTACTATGGACCCAGCAGATACTCTTTATGAAATGAAAGGTATTGGCAGGTCAAATTTGCTTTACAATCCTTGTTATCTAATTCTAGGGGTGTAGGGTGAGGCAGCGACTGCTCACTGGAAAGGTGGGTGTTGCTTTCCACATGTGAGGGGAAAGCATTCATGCTCAAATCTGCTTTTCATTCCTTGTTACACTTGCCAAGCAAGATAGGCCAGTATTACAAATAATTTTATTTGCATGCTTCCTTTCCACAGTTCAAATCATGTTCAAGACGGCTTACAACATGAAAAAAAAGTAACATAACGAAAGTAGTCACAAACAATAAATAAAGCATTTTAAAAATACCATTATCTTCATATCACAGATGGGAAGGGGATTTTGGCAGCTGAAAGATATAATTTGAACTGAACGGTCTACTGGCTGGGGCGCTTTCTGGAGTTTCGTTCCTGCTCCTAACTACTGCAGTATACACTGAACCTGGGTCATGGCTCAGTGGTAGAGGACATGCCTTGCACCCAGAAGCTCCCAGGTTTGATCGCTGGCATCTCCAGGCTGGATTGAGAGAGGCCCTATCTGAAACCCTGGATAGCTGCTGCCAGTCTGTAGACTGAACTCAGGTTCATATCATGGTGTGTTGGGCAGCCCTTGAAAGTTAGCAATGGAATATTAGCAGATTGAGATGTACAACATGGCCATCTTCAAAAGGAGTTCAGTATATGGTTAAGAAGTGATTGATTCTGACAGATCAGAGTGAGCCATGATTTCTAAGAGCATGGGACTTCTTCCACTGTTAAGTTGAGATTGCATCTTTGAATTCCCGAATAACTTCTTGAGTTGTAGTATTTAATTGATCAAACAGCTTTTTAAATTATTTCAAAGACTTTGATCAACAAGGAGCAGGTTTAAAAATAATAATTCATGTCTTATTCACATAAGTACAACTCCATGTGTGTTGGAGACTTCTATCACCCTGAGGGATAGCTTTTTTATATTTGGTGCCTGGTTTGATAGTTACCTGCATGATGTAAAAAATGATAGTATGCCTCTTTCTTCAGAACCAGTGTTGTTTTTGTCTAATCTACATAAATTTGCATGAATCAATTAATATACAAGTATGATTTTTAAGGTTTCTTTAATTGAATTTTTCAAGCATCATCAGGAATATTATTATTTTAAAAAAACAACAACAACAAAACTTCCACAGGGAAGGTTTTAATTCAATTTTAAACTGCCCTGCCCCATTTTGTTCACAACTGAAGAATTTTTACATGTTAAAATCAAACTGAAAATAGCATGTGGTGTGGTAGTGCAAAAACATAACTAAACAGTGGTACAGTAGCTGTATATTTCTTTGTTAAACCTAGGCCAAAATTTCTGGAAAGTCTGACAACTTCATAAGTCATAAGACTTGTGAGAGGCATACTTTTGTGACTAAATTACTGTGTGGTGTTATGCTATGTATCTAATCCCACAAGTCTAATATAGGCCATCACATCTGAGAGGTGTACTCAGAAGTTTATTTAAAGAACTTTCCAGTGAATTAACCTATGAAGAATATTCAAGTTTTATTAAGATCTGCTGAACGGGTTGTGGCAAAACTATAAATTACTATTTATAAATGACTAGGTTTCTCTTGAATAAAACACATTAACTTGATTCAGGTTGCAGGTGATAGAATCGAACTTTTTGATATACTGTAATATAGCAGTTTCAATCTAGAGTCTCAGTTTGACCTTAAAATGAGCATTCTTGAACCAAGGAACTTCAAAGCAAGACTCCAGTGTGAAATGATTGAATCACAATTTACTGAGAAATTTAATTCTAGCACATGTGGGCACTTTGGTGCTGCTAAGTGAGCGATTTGACGTTAACCCCCCCCCCCGGAAGCACACTCCATTGTCTTTCATGACAGAAAAATGCAAACAACATTAACAGTTCTTTGTAAATGGCCTCTGTAATTAATTAGGTTTAAGCTTCTAAATTATCACAGTTTGCATCTTCTACATTTCAGTCCTTTGTTTTCACTACTTACTTACACACACACACACACACACACACCACACCAAACTGAGAATAAAACTTCATGCATATGATAAAGTGAACTCTTGTCCATGAATGCAATTTGTGGCTTGGTATCATGTCCAAATGTGGTTAATGTAATGCCATCTTCAATGTCTGATAATTTAGACTGGATTCAATCAAGTGTATTAAGCACAGGAAGAAAGATAGTTACATTACTTTTGAATGTAGTACATTGTATTTTTCTTTAAGTGTGAAAGTTTTATTTCCATAGCAATACATTGTATACATTGTGTTATTGTACCCACTTAATTACTCAATATTAGGGTGGATTAGTGAAACAATGGTTTAAAACACAAAGGGAAAGAAGACCAATTGAGAATACTTCATATTTTTAGTATTTTTGAAAAGAACAAGATTGCTAATGTTAGATAACTGGATGCTCAAAATTATTTCAAGTAGTGTTAGGATTATAGTGCAATAATTGCTTTTTTATGGTTACCCAGATGGCTCAGTGGATGACATCTGTGTTGATTTGCCAGCCCCTTGTCCCCAATATCAAGACGTAATATATAAGTACACTATTTAGACTGTTGTGTTGATGTTTGTTACACAGATACTTATAAAAAAAGGCAGCCTTTCTTAAAGAGGGCTGTAAGTTTAATTCTAAGGTACTATCCTTGCATTAAGAGCAGATGTCATTTACAGCTGGTTATTTATTTTAAAGAAGAAATATTCTATTGAGCCTTGAAATATCAGGGGTTTTTTAATTGCTTTTTTATTCACTCTGTTCCATATTAATTAAAGGATTTGGTTGCTTATGATTAAGTTACAAAGCAGGATAACTGGCCTCCGCTTGAGCTAATATGGTAGTTAATATATCAGGCGTCAGGTTGTAGACTCTTGCTCTTCTTACAAAGTGTGTGTACTTCATGCACAGATGTTGCCTTTATTAAATTTGACTAGGTTACGTTGTACTTTATATTGATTGTGTAATAGCTATTAATCAGCTCTTTGTCATATTCATTTTTATCTCTTCAAGTGATTTTCTGTTTGCCTGTTAACACCACCACCTCATATTGCCTTTTGGCATTCACCCATGAGCACTTCTTAACCTCATGCCCCAGCATTTTTTTTCTGGCCAAGTGTGAGAAAAGGCCCTGTTAGCATAGCATACTGTTGGTAAGTATTATCACTCACCCTTCTTGCTCCATCCAAACTAAATAGTACACGTGTACTAAGCAACCCCAATATAGTCAATGTAACATTGACTATGGATCTTGCCAGTTATCTGCAAGTTGCAATATATTTATTTCCCTTCTCTGTTTATACAGTGGTACCTCGGGTTACATACGCTTCAGGTTACATACGCTTCAGATTACAGACTCCGCTAACCCAGAAATAGTACCTCGGGTTAAGAACTTTGCTTCAGGATGATAACAGAAATCGTGCTCCGGCGGCACGGCAGCAGCAGGAGGCCCCATTAGCTAAAGTGGTGCTTCAGGTTAAGAACAATTTCAGGTTAAGAACGGACCTCTGGAATGAATTAAGTACTTAACCTGAGGTACCACTGTATATGACTTGCACTACGGGGTAGGATTTTTATAATTCTAATCTTTCTAGTTGTGTTGAGGGTCTTTTGATTACAGTTACTAGCTCAACATCTGCATTTGATTCAGAACATTTTATATTAAGATGGGCATGCATAGCTAAAACTTTATCGATTTGGCATGAATGGGGATGCTCAAGACACATCATCCACACAGCTATTCAATTTTGAATTGTATGTATCTATGCAGCATTGAAGAGCTAGATTCTGATAATTCAGGAAGAGTATTTCAGATGGAGAGAGGAAGTTAATGGGAAATTGCATTTGCTGGTTGGTATTCCCTTGAGTAAAGTAAGTGGTCTGTGCTATGAAATAATACCTGGGTCCTTTAGAGAAACAAGCTGCCCAACATCACCATCTGCACTACTGCTTTCCTATGCATGAACTATGACCTCCTTCATATAATCTGCTTCCCAGCTGCCTTTCTGTTGAAAGTGGACTTTTACAGGTTGGGGGTGGGTGGGTCCTGAACACAAAGAGAGGATTTGAGGTCACCTGTCTCCATTGCAATCCAGGGTGGGGTGGGGGAGTAACAGACATGGTAAGGGGGAGAGAAACCATGTAGTTCTGGTAAAACTTCTCCTCTAGTGGCTTGTATAAGCATTGGGTGATGGCTGCATTCTGCTCCAGCAATGTTTGTGCATTTCTCATGGCATTGTTATTTTCTATCTACTTAATATCACATATATGCTAATAATGCATTTATTCTCCAAGTCTAGGTTTCTGGAAACTCATGTAGCTTTGTAGAAGTCCAAAAACCTTTGCCACTTCCTCTTAAGGTCCAGGAAATTTTGCTGAATGGAACACTCTAACTTACTTTCCATTTATCTCTAAGCTACTGAACATGCAATTTACAGCATTCCAGCAAACATTTATATCCAGTTATTTCATCCAGCAATATAGGAAATGCTGAAACACTGCAACATTGAAGATGACAAAAAATCCGGTCCTTTTAACTGGTCTGATGTACAAATTCCATTATCAACCCACTTCTACAAAAAGAGTTGCATCCATTTTCAAATCTGGATTACCCACTGTTTAGTAGCCCTGACTACTTTCCTCATTTCTAGGAATCTCTTCACCTATTTACTACTACTTCCCCATTCTGCCTATCCTGAAGCAGCCCTACTGTTAGCTCAAGGTACAGAATTTGCTTTGTATCTACTGGCTCTGCCTCCTTTCCAGGATGCCTTATCAGGAGATATGAGCCACAAAAATTGTTGCATTTGCCTCA